ATAAAATTTGAAAGCAATGCTCAAGTATTAACTAGTGTATTTGTTCACAAAGTTTAAGTTTAGACTTGATGGAAAGCTGGGTTTCGAGGAATCCCTTGAAAGAACAGACTCCTTGTTTGACATTGATGAAATGTCCTTATAACATTTAATCATTAGGCCTAGGAGCATGGAAGCGTAACTGTTTTGATAATAAGCCCAGCGGCTGATTTACTATTAAAAAAGAGTGTACTGAATATTCCCTACCCTGGTAGGACATACTAATTTTGCCAATCGAAATGGATCAAAATTTATGAGCGCTTCTTCGGACACCCACCAGTACAAGTATCTCATGATCCGAAACGTAAATAACTGGACTGTATAATACCTCCACTCGATAAGCGAATTCCATCGGTAACCTGAAGATGAAGCCTACCTGTGGCCCTGTTGCTGTTAGATCCAGTCTAGACCTCTCTTTTGGCAATGAAACACTCAATACTACTGAGGTTACCTCAAGTGAATTTGTTTGATCAAATATGTGCGAATCTACACATCATGTACAATTTGGTTTTACAGCAACATATTTTTTCAGTCGCTTGGCCGGATGGCAACCTAAAAATATCTTTTGTCCACAAAGGCTTCGTTTGACGTAATTTCCTTAGACTTTACATGGTTGCAAAGCTTACCTGACCTTTATCTAGGAATCTGGCTTTCACCAAGGATATACAACATTTAATTTAGTCATAAACATGCACTTATACTGTTGTACCTGAGATAACTTCTGTTTTTTACTTTATTTGGAGGCCAACCAGGGTAAGTTTAATTCAAAGTAAATTCCTCAAAAAATAAGTAATCTTAGGCCAATAACTTGGAAGATATTTTATGTGAAATAATGACCTGTTAAAATTACGACAACCTTATAGTTTACGAGAATGACCTCAAAATATTTTATCCATTTTTGTATGTTTCTTCTGTTAAGATCATAGATTTATGCATGTATTTATCTATATCATTCCATTCAAGGCGAAAGTATGTGAATACCCTATCAATTTGGAGACTGATCCATCTACTCGTCAGCCTGTAATTAGTCCTCAGCAAGGAGCTCACCGTCCCGTTGGCCTCATCGCTCGATATCAGCTGGAGATTGGTACTTCATCGCACTGCTATTGCTCCTCCTCTTCCTCCTCCTCATCATCGTCCTCTTCCTCATCTTCTTCATCCTCTTCATCTTCCGCAGCATCTGCCTCTGACTATCCAATAGGTTATCCACCATTCACGGGAAGCCTTGGTCCTCCGGCAGCCTCTTCCACCTCAACAATTCCGATTGGTCCTTCGACCACCATCACTACCTCTTCCTCTCCAGCATCTTCCTCCATCACGTCAAGCTTACTGGCTTCGGCTACTCCACATGACACGATAATACAATCTCATGGACAGTCAAACTTACATGGCATGCTCCATCACCAACAACATGACCCAACTCAGCAGCCACAGCAACAGCACTCTCATCATCAGCCAGTGAACCATTTGCATCCATCTAATTTGGTTTATTTAAATCAAAATGTCGAATCAAACTCCCAGCCCCATGAGCGTCACCATTCTACCCATCAGCATCAGCAACAAGCAGAACATTCTGAACATCATTCTCGAGTTTTATATTCACATCACAACCACCACCTTCATCATCAGCATCAACTACTACCCGGACACCAACAATATCTGCTACCACCGTCTCAATCACAATCTCTCGTTCTCCTCTCCACTGCCTCGGATGTCGAGGAGATGTTGTGTTGCCCTCCGGCGTCAACATACGCCTCGGTCGGCAGGCCGTCTGACAACACACTTGGTGGCAGAAGTCGCTTTGGAGGGGGGGATTTTGACTCAAATCTTACTGTAATTAGCCCCACTGGTGTTCTGATGGAGCAGCATCCAGGACTGCGGGTAGAAGCTACGTCGGAAACTCCAATGGCTGCCGGACTGAGTGGCGGACGAAATGAAGCCGGTACCGGATGCCCCGTTTCACGGAACTCAGGAAAAGTTGTCACAGCCGGGTGTCTGCCTTCAATGCGTGTCCTCGCTGGCAAGCAACTAGGAGGACTTGCTCGCTTGCCTGAAGTTGAGTATAGTCAGGTCAATGATCGCAGCTCTGTTTGCCCAAGTGCTCAGTTGGCTAGTTCTGTGGAAGCAAGTCTTCAGCCAGTCAGAACTGCCCAGTTCTGCTCTGACGAACAGGTTGGTGAGGCCTATTAGTGTTTGTGCAAGAGACAATGTCAAAGCGACTTCTAAAATGTCTTATTACTTTCAGTTACTTTATGCAAAGCTACTTAAGCACCAGTAGTCTTCACAAGAACACCTATTAACCATCATTTCCAGCAGCCGATTGAACAGTTTCTCATTTCCTTTCCCTAAAGCTACCCGAAGGATTGTTGTACCCTATTTATTCCCAGATCCATTACATTAGGAATGAAAGTCGCTTTAAAGAATTCAGCCACTTTATGCATAATAAAAACGTTACAGCTTCTTTCTTGAATGAGTAGGTTTCAAGACTACCAGTAAATCAGATAGATTAATTATTTTCACTCTATGTCGTTTAAGGTCATGAAGGCTATGTAGTTGAATTTTGCCAGAACGATATGTGTAAAGCTAATGTTTTTTATTGAATTTCACATAGCCCTGCTTGCTCAAAAGGTGTTCTTATCCAAGATGGACTGCAGTTTCGACTTCGCATAGGTCTTATCAACACCCCAAGCGGTAGTCGAACCATAACAGTGCAGTGTGTAAGCTCGACACGTTAACCACTTCGCCACATTGCCACGAGTGCAATTAATTCAAGGA